ATTGTAAATTCGGGTGATAAGATTTTTATAGCTATCATTATTTTACAATTCCATTTATGTATAGCATACTAATAAATATAGTTTTAATCGGAATAAGTTCTTTCAGTATTAATAAGGGTAATGAGAATATTTTTCTAATCATAATTGTGTTATAGATCCATTACTATATATGCTGCATATATTACTCTTTGAATATAGTCTTAATTTCAGTTTTCTCTTCCTGTATTAAGAAGATTGGTGTGATAATTTCCTAATCATAATTGTGTTACAGAACCATTGATGGTATGGTTTATATAGTACTCCTTGAACATAATCTTAAAACCAGTTTTTTCTTCCTGCGTTAAGAAGATTGGTGTGATCATTTCCTAAACATAATTGTATTACAAATCCATTGATAGTATGGTTGATATATATAGTACTCTTTGGACATAGTCTTAATTCCAGTTTTTTCGTTCTATATTAAGAAGATTTGTATGACAATTTCCTAATTATCATAACACATAATTGTGTTATAGACCCATTCGCAGTATGTTGTTTATAACGTTCTTTAAACATAGATATAAGCGGAATATATCGAATTGTTGGTGTCTGTTGTTGCCATGTTGTGGTATATTTGTTTTGTTCTCTAACAGAATGTGTAAATTGGTGCACCTTTAATTATTTTCGATTTTTAAGTGCATTTTTTTATTTAAATTTTTTTAAGTTTTTTTTTTTTGTAATAAAACAAATTCATCTACACATACTTAGTATATTCTTATAAAGACTTTTTAAATTAATAGTATCAACTATTTGTTTTTTTTTATTTAAACATAAAAAAAAATATTATAGTTTGAATTTGTTATATACCTTATAAAATAATTTTAAATTTAATTTTTTTAAGTCCATACAGTTCTTTTGCCAAATTTTAGTTACAAAGTTTTAATTTCGAAAAATATCCTAAAACACTTTTTTGGTTTTAATTGTTTTATTTATATTTTGTATTCTAAACACTTTTTTTTTAAATTTAGTTTTGATTTTCCACAGAATTATAATTTTAGTTTAATTTCAGTTCATTCAGTTTTATTTTCCAATTCGTACTGTCCAAATCACATAATTTTCTATATCTTATTCATTTATACCTTCCATTACTCTCTCTTTCTCTCTTGTTAATACATATATCCTTTTTTGCTATGTACTAATTATTTTTTATATTTTTTCTTTGTTAAGCTAAAAACAATATTTAATACATTTAATTACAAGATTTGTTGAAATATTCTTTTTCATATTATTTACATAATACTAAGTTTTAATTTAACACATATTTCATTTCACATTAATATTACTAAGTTTTTTTTTCGCAAAGTCTTGGCAATCTTTAAACAATTTCTTAAGTATATTTAAAATTATTATATTATTTATAATATTACATTTTAGTTTTTGACTATATTTAGGGTTTCATTAATATGGTAAATTTTTATTAAGCAATTATGGATGCAACTAAATACTGGAGGTTCATTTGGAAAGATCAGTTGAAAGGAAACGTTTCGTTTTTGCTTGAAGAGGCGATATGTACTGTTTCTATTGAAAAGTATTTGGTAGAAAAAAATAACAATTGCTAACTATGAGAACTTTCTAAAAATGGATATTAAGACAATAAATTCTAGAGCAATATTACAATAATTCGATTCAGTGGTGTTAAGGTAGTAAAAATGGCGCCATAGCTTTTTGAATTTCCTCCAAAATGGTATATTAATATAATACATATAGTATATACATTTCTTGTGGATCATTGGGTACCATCATATGCCGTGACACCAGATGCCGTTGTGCCTCCTCTTCATTATGCCACTGCTTTGAATTTAATATAAGAAATATACAAAAATTTGAACATATAAAATAGTTAAGATATTTTTAATTTACTATTATCTATAAAATTCGGTACATTTAAATAATGTTTATTTTTATTTTCAACATTTTGTTACAGATCTCAAAATATAAATTTGTATATCCAAAACCGATATATCTCTTGTATATATAGATTTTGAATATTGTTCAAACTGTTGTTTTTTTTTAATAACTTAAAAGTGTTTCTGCAGTTTTTTTTTCATTTAATTAATATTAATGTTTACAATTAATTTGTTTTGTTCTAATAATTATTTGAAAATGACTTTTTCGTTTTATAGAATGCTTGTTCTGTGAGCATAAAAATTCCTAGCTCTCTTATATTTTTCATTAGTTAGTTATTTGAGTTGAAGAGTTGATGTCATAATACGGACGCTTCATCGGTGCTGTTATTCCGCCCAAGCACATTTAATGAATGAGTAGGTTTGGCATCATCTGAAATACATGATTTATATAAGTAATTAAAATATGTAAAAGAAAAAATTCTTCAATTTTTTCAATCAATCACTACGTTTAAAAAATTTCGGTATTTTAGTGATGAAGTAAGTATATATTACTCCTAATAAATGAAAGCGCTATTAAATAAAAACAGAAAATTTTTAATAAATTAATACTATTTAATAAAATATTTAGCAATTATTTGTGATACCTGTACCAATCGCGTTAGCTAAATGCTACTGATCAAAACTGTTACATTATGCTAGGGTTTCAAAAGAAAACCGATATCCGATATTTTTACCGTAGCGAAATCTGTAACCGATCCGATGAAAATAAATCGAATTATTTGTTAATTCAAACGTTTTCCTTTTCAATTATAGGTTTTGTATTTTGTTTATAAATACGAACTATATATAAATTTATCAGAATACAAATTAAATCATATAAGTCAAAACCAAAATGCAGAATACAAATTAAATCATATATGTCAAAACTAAAATGCAAGGAACTGTAAAATGAAAAGAATAAGATATTAATTAAATTACATAAATTAGTCGGTGAGAAGGGTGGTACTCTGCAGAAACCCCTAGCTATCAAAGAGATGCACTAACTCGAAATAGACAGACTCAACATGAACTAAAGTAGCCAATAATTGTAAATTGGTTAATTTATAACTAATTTAAATTTATTAAATTATTAAAATAATTATAATTATTTATATAGTAATATATATATATATAGTAATATATATATAGTAATATATATATATAGTAATATACATATAGTATTATATATATATAGTAATATATATATATAGTAATATATATATATATATAGTAATATATAATTATAAAGTAATATAAATGATTTTAATTATAACAAAAAGAAAAATGAATTTGTAATACAAATGTATAAAAAATATGTACCTGAAACTGAATCGAAAATCGAAAAAAAAATCAAGTATTAACATTTTTAACAAATAGAAAATTAAAGCTTAATTAAATGATTATGTGAATAATTAGAGTTTTAAAAAAATAAGTTATAAAATTATAATTTCTCAATAACTTCTAGTTATTAAAATAAGTTGTACTAAAGAAGAACTTATATGAATTTCACAATGTCTACGATGTAAATGAAATAAAATATATTAAAGTCTTTACATATAACAAAGATAGTATAAAAAAATATTGAATTTCAAAAATTCACAAAAAAGTATGATTAGTAATACTATTAAGTGCTAGTGAACTCTAAATTTTTTGGATAAGGCGGCATTGTTCACGATTAGAGGCTTTCTAACGCAGCGGTTTACGGGCGCTTTACTTTCCGAACAGAAAACAGCATTCCGTTCAATTCGAGTTCTACTTAGAGTTCGCCCTTTTTCTTTTTCTACAGTCTTTGTTATCTCATTGATTTGAGTCAATACAATTAAAAAGAACATTTTGAATAAAAGCATTGCAATACCCAACCTATATTAGTCAAAGTATGGCAATATATATAATTTTTTCAATCATTCTTATTTGTTGCGTTCTTCGAACATACTTTAGTTTTTCTATTCAGTTGTTTTTAAATTTATGTATATTTTATTTTTGTTAATCGCACGTACGCGTTGATACTGTTATTTGATGAAACAATTAAAGCGAGAAAAGTTTTATGAGAATCTATGTAAAGTCAGACGTTGAGTTGCAAAGTACCTATGAAGCATTCGTTGAAAGCGCCTAGTCTGGACATGCGTGTCTAAGCGCAGAAAGACAAATTTATAGCAGATATTATTTAAGTTTACGAATATGTATATATATTCATATAAATAATTTAAATAAACTTTAGTAAATAAAATATTTAAAATTAAAACATGAAGTTATAAATACTAAATACATAGTATGAAGTATAACTTTATAATTCAATTTTAAATATTTTGTTCACTAAAGATAATTTCCTTCTTTAAGTTTTTTTTTTCTATATACTAATATTGGTTTCAGGTTGCATTTTTGCCAATCGTAACTACCAATAAAATGTAATACCATTCAAAAGTATACATGGTCTTAAGTATATTCTATGAAGTAAGAAAAAATTAAACTCATTAAAATAATAATAAAAAGAAAAACAAATATTTTAAAACGAGCAAACGTTTATTTAAAACTTTTCAAAAGTATTTTATAAATAAAAGAAAAAAAATAATGAATTTAAATTATATGTATAGTTCCATAAATAAATTCTAAAAGTTTAAATCTAAATTATAAAATACAAAACTTGAAGGTAGTTCTCAACTAGTTTAATTGCAAAGATACTAGACAAAAAATTAATTAATTAAAATATAACTACAACAAAAAAATATATTATGTATTTATATATATAAATATATATATATATATGTATACATATAATAAATTTAATTTTTTAACAGCATAATGCGCTATGCTTATTTGTTTATATGGTCCTTTACTTTGATTTTGTATTAATTTATTTTATTTATTTATATAAGTATTGTCAATAAATTAAAAAAAAAATTTATTATATTTCTTTTCTACAAATGAAATCAGTTATAGAGAAATATTATAGAGATATATTAAAATTGAAAATATATTAAATTGTTTATAAATACTTCATACCAAAAATTAATTTCATAAAAATACAAAAGTAGATATTTACATATAAATATATATGTATATATTAACATAGCATAACTGAACATTATATGAAGAATAATCGCTTATTTAAAAACCTTGTTTAAAAAGTGAATTTTTTTTACATCCAATTTTACTTAAAATAATTAATTGCGATATAGAATATAGTCAGTTATTGCCCAACATTCGTAAACAAAAACAGCAGTCATAACCAATTTTGGTGTTAGCAGCTGGATTAGCGACTAACCACATCGGTTGTTTTGTTTGTTGGCGGTGTGGCACTAGAAACACCAGTTTCATCATTTTTAACACTTGTTGTTGGTGTGACAGCAACATTTGTACTACTGCTAACAATTGGTGGTGGTGTAGTGCCACTTGTGGTAGATGTGACACCAGTTGCAGAAGTTGCATCTGGCGATGCAGCTAAAGTCTGTGTTGTAGAGCAAGGTGCAATAACTGACATATGTTTAGAAGAGTCTAGATTAACGGCTAGATTTGGCTTTGGTGAGCCGCTGTGAGAGATTTCTGTATTTGGGGAAGCTATGCTATTTGCATCAATGGCAGTTGCGTCTGTTTTTTTATTATCGGAATTACCTGCGCCAGCAACAAGAGTAGTTCCGCTTACTGTTGTTAAAATTGACGTTTTTGGTTCGACGTTTAATTGAGTAGCGCTATTTGGTGAACTTCTTCGTATCTCTTCCGTCGAATTGGACGGTAAAATATTTTCAGCTGTATTTAACGAATTACTCGTTGGTGTAGGTGGCTTCTTATCTGTAGTAGGTGGAGTACTACTTTTTAGCGTATCTTCTTTTTTGGAGATATCCTTACTCATTTCTTGATTTGATTCCACACCATTGATTTCATGAGCTATTGATGGTGTTGTGCGTAAACCTTGTCCAGTGCTACTTGCTGTCGAAGGTGCTTGATTACTTGAATTTGAGTTCGACCCTGTTAAATCAAGGGTTGTAGGCTCGTGAATTGTTGTTGCTAAAGTTGTCGGTGTAGTATTTGGTTTATCTGTTGTTGGTATTACAGAATGATGACGCATAGCGTGTGGACTACTTGATGTTCTTCCATTATTTGGGTTATGTGCATTTGTTCCACTGGGTACAGCGTGTCCTCCTGAAGATGCAGGCGTTGGTATTTTCATGCCTGTCGGCGAAGAAGTATGTGAATGTACTTGATTTAGCGATAACGATAACGGCGCTGGGCTATGTTGATGTGCAGCAGTTGGTGTTAATGCGCTTGCAGCATGCATAGCAGCCAAATGATGACTAGGGTGGGCATAGTAAAGCGCATTGTTCATTGATGGAATGTGAGACGAAGATTGCTGTGCAGCGCTCGAAGAAGTAGTTATAGATGGTGCCAGTGAAGTTATACTATTTGATTCTGATAATTTAAGAGGAAGTGCTGAACTTGCACTTATATTTACGCTGTTATGTGGAGATGTAGTTGCGGTAGATGTATGCGATACTGCCGAAGAATGAGACGGCATTTGGTGGGCCGACGTAATTACTGGATGGTGTGGTGATATATGTGGATGACCTAAACTGAGGCTATGATGTGTTAATCCCAGAGCAGCAGCAGAAAAACCTGGATGAGTTAAACCAGCAGCAGCTGGATGTGCTAGTCCTAATGCAGCTTGTTGTAAATGATGTGGTAGATTTGGTGGTCCATGCGATAGGGATGGAACTCCAGCTAAACCACTTAAACCTAAATTAAGTCCCATAGGATTATGTGGGCTTTGACGTTGAGTAGCTGCATGATAGGGCGATATTGCTGGCAAAGAATGTATTCCGCCCGGCGGAGCTCGGAGTCCCAGATTTAGGTGCGGTATCATAGATCCAAGTAAATTTCGATTTAATGGTGAATAAAGAGTATTTGAATAATGATGTGAAGCAGTAAGTAATTGTTGTCGCTCTCTTTCTCTTGCCTCACGTTCTTTTTCCCTCATCTCTCTTTCACGTGCCTCCTTTTCCTTTTGTTCCTTTTCACGTTGCTCCTTTTCACGTTGTTCCCTTTCTCTTTGCTCTTTTTCACGTTGTTCTCTTTCTCGTTGTTCTCTTAATTCTCTTTCTTTTTCGCGTTGCATTTCACGTTCACGCTCCTCTTCACGTGCTATACGCGCACGATGTTCTTCTTCTAATTTTAAACGTTCATGTAACGCAGGTCCTAAACCTAAAGTTGCACCCGGTATCATAGAATACAGATGTGAAGCATAGGACGGAGCTATCTGAGGGTACAAAGCGTGTGGATGAGAATGATGTGCTCCGGCTGCACGTAACATTTGATATCGCTGGTCCAAATACAATTGCTCAGAGTATGGTAAACTCGCAGGATTAAGAAATGCACCTTGAAATAAAAACAAAAATATTATCACGGTATAATATAAGAATATTTATTTAAACTTACCTGGCGGCATACCGGGAAATGCACCAAAAGGAGAATATGCTTCTAAAGGAAAAGCACCAGCTGGATGCAAAAGACGTTCGTCCGATCGATAAGGCTGAAAACCACTACGGGCTAACAGTTCCGGCTGTATAGATGCAGCTTGTGGTGGATTTAATCTAGCAATTTTTTCTGGTGGCTGCGGTGATGGAGCAGAACGTTTCTTCGCTATTGAACGATCATCAATTGCAGCTGCTGATACTACTGATGATGATAGGCGATCATTCGAAATTGTTGATCGAGATTGATTAGAATTTGTAACAATAGTATTTGTATTTGGAACTCCTACTGATGGTTGTACGCCACCGGCTGATGAAGTTCGTTCATTACGTTCTCTTACTACACCGTCTTCATCTTCTTTAATATCGGCTTGTTTGGCTAAGTTTCGTAGCGCTGCTGCGAAAGAACCGCGTCCGCCTGAAGCATTTGGGTTAAGATTTGCAGAAACACCAGCTAATTGTTGTTGCACTTGAGCAGCAGCAGCAGCGGCAGCAACTGCCTGTTGATGAACTTGATGTTGTGTTAAAGATGGTGATTGTGCACCCATGTGATTTGTAGGTAAACCGTGATTAAGTAAATTAGAAGCTGCTTGTGATACAACGTTACTAGCAGTAGTTCCGCTATTTGCCGTTCCAGAAGATTGTAAATGATGTGGAGATGGTATAAGAGGTGCTGGACTTGTAGCTGGACGCTTTTGCCCAGTTTTTGGTGGTACTAAAATAAAAAAAATCCTTCAGTTAATACAGAATTTCATCGATAAAAAGTATATATAAAAGACAAAAAAATATATAATTTTAGTTTATAATAAACTGTTGCAAATATAATATAAATTTTAAAACTCAGTTATTAGGATTTTGACTTCTTATGTGTTTAAATCAAGCAAATATTTTCCATTGAATAATTGTACATCAAAATTGAAGGCTGGGAATTAAAACCAAAAACCAAATAAAGGAATAAAATTTTCTATATGAAATATGTAGGAAAAAATAAAAAGAAGTAGAATCGGATTTTCATTGCTAGGATGTTATATTATGTATGCTTCGCTAGAGTTCACGTCTGCATTGTCATCGTTGCAATGACAACAACTCCCACAGCAAGTTACTGGTGCCATTGCTAAGCCAAAAACGATTTGTTGTACTCATAGGTTTGTTTGGAAAAGGCATCAGTATGCAGGGCACAAGTTTAGTTACAGCTCAGCAGTTTGCACTGCCGTTGGTAAAGCAATTGACAACCGTGCCAGCCCCAACATTAGAAAATCTCTCCCATGCAATGCACTCTGCTGCAATATTACAGCAGATATAACAAAAAATGGCATACGTTGAGTATACACAAATATTTGTGTTATTTAAGTTCGTATGCTTATGCACAAGTGTTAGTTGGGAATAAAAAATAAAAGCTGAAGACCAAAGTGTACATTCACTATCGGGGAGTGTTTGTTTGACAAAGCCCTACACTATTCGTTCATGTTTTTGGCCCATACCGATGATATTGCTAAAATCTTTAAACGGACGTAAACTACATAACGCAAAATACTAAAAATTTTACTTTTAACTCAAATATAGTTGGCTAAAGTTTAATAGTTAAAAATATTTTCAGAAGTTCCTGAAAATATTAAATATTCCGGTGTTTGCACTTTTTAAAAGAATATCAGTGATAATTTTGTGATGTCGGTTCAGTTCCGGCTGTATGATGTCGTTTAATCTTCGTTTATAATAATGTTTTATATCCGGCTATATGTCACCTTTGTTTTTTTTCTCTTCCTTTATAAATTTCAGCGGGTTTATTATTCCATGATTTATATGGAGGCATAACAATGCTACTATGCTTCTTAAGTAGTGAACAATTTGTTTACTAAGAACTAGATATGCAAAAAAGTGCGCTCTAATTGTTTTCTCCATCGGTTAGATTAAATATCAATCAAGATTTCTTGCGCGATTTCATCATATAGACTATGACCACCAAACATAGGTCGCTCTGACGTCTTTTAAGATATCGAAGGTGCTTTAAATCATGTTTAGCACAAATATTTGTTGCAAAGGATTTATTTAAAATATATATAAACACAATAAAGTATCGATGATTCCGAGCTTACTATTTGAAGGAGTTTACATCAATAGACGACAATATGTAACAATAGACGAAACGTAGATATGCCACTGCATATTGGAATCAAAATGGAAGTCACCCTAAAGAAGAAAAGTCAGGGAATTTTACTTAAGTGATCAAAATCTCACTTTTCATTTGGTGTGATTATGGTATACATATTTTTAAATACATATAAATAGCATATTTATAAATAAGCATCAGCGCCTATTACCCTGTTTGAAGAAAATGCAAAATATAATGCCCACAAACAAGAATGGAATTATATAACTGTTAAGTGGTTCTATATTAATAAATCAAGCCAATTTCTAAACAAATAATATTAATTTTTTAACCGGTATTATAGTAAATTACTGAGTTATATATTAGTGATCTCTGATAGTCAATCTGTTCGACTGTTAGCAGACAAGTTAATCCATCGGTTTCTCGACTAATCAAATATAACTTTCCACAAAGATTTTTCTGGACAAAAACTACACTTAGCATGTGGTGTTAAAGGAAGAGACAATGGGAGACATGTGAGAATTCTCAAGTTTAGCATAACGTAACGAGATGGAGAGGAGAGTTTAACGTTTTTAACGGGCACAATATATGTAACAAATATACTTAAATATTAATATTTAGTTATTAAAAATAGATATTTTATCAAATTATAAATATCCTTGTGGCATAATTTTCAATAAATTTTTTTACCAATATTTAAAGTTGTAGAGAAGAAATTGTGATTTAATTCGTTATATCAAATATGACAATATCTTATTATTGCTAATGAAACTTTAAAGACTGCAAATTTAGAACCAGTTAAAAGACACATATAGTAGACCTATGTTGATGTAAAGTATACAGTAAACTCTGCAGCTTTAAATAATATTTCAACATTTCAAATAGAATAAAAATTAAATAAGGAAATAATAATGAGCTTTTATAAAACCTAAAATTATTAATTACAGAAAAATTCATTTAAAAATCTGTTATGTTAAAATAATCAAGCGATATTCTAAATTAAATATTACACAATTTAAAATGATCAATAAAATTTTGAATATTACCATTCCATTGTTTAAATATAAATTTACAAATAATTTCATTACAAATGAAATACAAACTTTTTTCAAATATGAAAATGTAATAATTAAACTGAATTCTACCCTCCAGACTTTTAAGAGAAATACAATGCTACGTTTCGAGTTAACACAAACACCATGTATGTTCGGTATTCAAATTGGTTAAATTTCGTAAACAGATTTCATAAATTATAGTTATTGTTATTTACATAATGTTACTGGTTTTATACATATACAATGTGTAAATAAAAATATTATTAACCAAACAAATCTAAAATGCATCGTGTAAATTTCTATTCGCAGCACATTCAAGCGTTACGAATGGTTCTCTCCAAACCCCCACGTACGGCATGAGCATTGTTTGTCATGTAAAGGATGTATTCGATGCATTGGTCACAAGCAAATAATGGCGAAGCAAAACTTGGTACCTTCATGTATATATAGTAGAGGTACTTACTTACATAGGTTAGAATTTAACATAGTGTATATATTTATATTTTGAATAACTATCAATGTAATCTATAATATAGAACAAATATTTTATAAAATATTAAAGGGACTTTAATTCATTTTTAAATATTTTCTATTATTATATCGACAGCTAAAAAAATATCTCATAAAGGAATTGTTTCCAAATGAGTTTTTAGCTTATATAGGCAAGAACTTGTTAGCTGTTATTTAATGAAATAAGAACATTTTACAAGAACATTTCAATTGCTTTTTGTTTAAGACCATGTTATACATACAGTCATGGTAACGTCTACGTATATTAAGAAATTGAGAATGAGAGAAAGATTTCATTAAAATGTAGTCATAGTGACAAGACTTTGTGTACCTCGTCATGGTAATCAAAACAGTGTAGCTCAGTATATTTTTATTCAATATGTCTTTATTGAATCGCTTTTATTTAAAGCCTAATTCAATTTATTTCCAAATTATTTTACAGATACATGCCACAATGAACTATAAAATGAATTGTAAATCATTTTAAGGGGCCAAGGCTTATTTACCAGATATCACGGTAATAAGTTGAATTAAACAGGATAATATTGAGGAAAGCAGGATGACAGGTCTAACATTCCGTTTCAGCCCAGAGAAATTTATCAGAATTCCAAGAGGCTTAACCAATAGATTAACCTTATTCTCTCGAATACGACTTTAACTATCGGAACTTCCAAATCAAAATGTATGTTTTCATTTCTGATATAGCAGAGTGCACCAGAGGCTTAACCAATAGATTAACCTTATTCTCTCGAACTCGACTTTAACTATCGAAACTTCCAAATCGAAATGTATGTTTTCATTTCTGATATAGCAGAGTGCACCAGTTATCATTCTTAGAATCTTTGCTTGAGCTCTTTGCAGAATTTTTGTTTGACGAATAGGCATTGCCATATAGCTGTAAGCCGCACATACATATTGGTTTAATGACTTAGTTGTATAACAAGACTTTATGCTCTAAACATAAAGGAGACTGATGCCCAATTAGTCAGCGACGGTTTATAGCCTGTATCTCAGTAATAAATGTCAAAATATGTGTATTTTAGTAAATAAGTATAACAAAAGTATTAAAATTGTAGTTGAAGTACAAAATTGTTAATGCGATATGGCATTCTATTTATTTATGATAAATATATAAGAACCATATTATGTAGAAAGTCATATAACATAGGTGGATTATTTAATATGGTTACTTGGTTAATTACAATAGCAAATCAGCAGATAACTTTCCGTTGATTTCAATTACCGATTTTTCGCCGGTTTACTACATTTCTCGCAGGAAACCTTAAGATATAATAAGACAAAAAAATGTATTCCGTCGTATTTAGATAATTGAAAAGATCTTTTATTCTTACCAATAAAGAGTCTAACCAACTGTGCAAAATGTATTTTCCTAAAAATATGTTTCTTCTGGAGATCAGACCTAGGCACTAATTTTCTCATTTGTTTCTTTTTCCTGTAACATTCCACAACTTCTGCAATGAGTATTAAAAGGAATGTGCAGTTTTTCTGTGTGGGTTCTATACACAAGTGACCAGAGAAAACTGCAGTAAACCTTGCAGTATTCACGCGGTCTCTTTTATTGAGTTTAGAAGATGTGGTCTTATTATATGAGGGTCATATTAACTGGGAAATTACGCATGACCCCAGTATATCTTATTTATTAGTGCCAAAGAATTAATTGATGTAAAGTGCTAGCAATATGATAGCAAGTGTTTATAAATATTTAAAATATTTTTATGTGTTATTTTAATAAAATTATTCCCACAACTCTGTTATAAAATCTATAATTTACTAATCCTTGTATGAGTTATAAAATTGCAATAATATAATAATTGAATATTTTTAATTATTGCATAAAAGTGATTTTGATATATGCAAATTGATATATAATTATTAACTGCATTAATAATATACACATGCACACTATTGGTCATTTACATCGAACAGTTCCTGAACCATACATTATCTTTGTCACTTAATATCTCAACAGTAGCTGCGGTAATTTAGCTTCTATTATGAATAATAAATGTTAAACTAAAGTGA